TGCTGGCATACTGACCTGGCTTTCTGCACTTTAATGACGTGATACACTAATCCTCTGTAATTTTTCAGCAGAAGGAAAAAATGAAACTTCTCGGGTTTGAATCTATCACTTTCATAATGGGAAGAAAGCAAGGAGGAATTTACTGGAATAATCCGGAAGTTGCAGTTTTGTTGGGCTCTGTCCCCAGAAGCACAGAATCACTGTGTGTCAGCCCTGAAATGTCATATAAACAGTGCTTCACAACTCCTGTAAATGGTTTCCTGACTTTGTTAAAGGAAGTGGGCTGTCTACTTAAAGCTCTTGTCTGGGTCACGGTGACTAAACCTTACTGCAGCATGCCTTTTTAAAGGTTTGGGTTTGTTTTAAATCGGAAACATTCCCATAAGCCTCAACAAATAACAAGGGCGTAGAACATAATATAGGTCCTTTGATCCATGGAAGTGCAGAGATGTCTCACCAGTAGTTGGAGCCCAATTCACCTGTACGCTAATCCACTGATGCTGACAGGAGTTCGGGGACTAATTCTATTGTGTAATACTGTAAACATTAGTCATAAATGCTTGTAGAAAATACTGGGGAAAAAAGTACTAGGAATTATGAGAATTTGAATCACATTCAGCTATAAATATCCTGACTTCAAACACCAGAGATCCCCTGGGTCAAATTCTTCTTGTCTTGCACGCATGGCAACACCCTGGATCTCTCAGTCCAGTTCAGGACTCATTAGCTAATTGCTGAAGGGAAAACAAAGACCTGTATTAAGGCACCTATTCATGTTAGGTACCAAACATGTATATTCTGCAGCCACTCCTGAGATGCATAGATGTCTGTATAACTGTTCAGCATGCCATGTGTTGTTGTTTGCATAAACTTAATTGAACATACTCACACAGAATACAATTATTCTGATATACTAAGCTACTCTACATGTGATTAAATAATAACAATGTGTCCTGGGAACAGTTAGCAAAACTGCCAGAATGCAGATAAAAACTGTCTTATTAAAATGCAAAAATCGGCATTTATCTTTCCTGTTATCCCTGTGGGGGCCATTACATGCAATAATGAAAAGATGTCCCTTGAAATGGCATTACTTTTTAATGAGGTTTTTACCCATTGAGTCATAGTATCAGTTTTATTAATTACAGGCAGAAACAGCTTCCTAAACCCTGTAACTGCTGAGCACAAGTGGCTTCTAAAGCTGAGCATTCCCAGTCAGTACTCAGACTTTGGCAATTCAGCAAGTGTCAGGCTACAGCTAAGTTAAGGATGTGGGTTGACTCTACAAGCCGCGCATGTGAAGATCCAGCAAGGACATTTGCACATCACTGTGTCAGCTCCTGGGCAGTTCCGTGACATGTTCCATAGCGCTTTAATTGTTTACAATCCTCTGGTTAAGAAAAAACAACTGGGACACCCGTCATGATTACTTGCTGATTATTATTTGGCCCCATGGACACTACTGTCCTTTCCTTTGACTCTGGCACTTGTCTTCATTCAGAGCGTGAAGAGCCAGACACCAACGCTGGCGCTGGGCTCCAGCTCTGACTCACTCGCCCTATCCTATACTCAGTGGTACTCAGAAAGCCCCACGGCAAAGGGACTGAACTCTTGTGTTTCAGTAAAAGCCTGGCTTTTCCCTTCATCTGTCTCATTACTCATATCCTCCTGAGCTTTTGACCAACAAACCACTCTTGGTTAAAGCAATTTGGCAAATGTGATCCATTATCATGGGTACCGCTGCTTCTACTAGTATTTAGGGCTTTGCTGTACATTTGACATGGGAACTGCTTTATTCTACAACAGGGGGAAACATCTATTTCTGCAAACTGTCACTCAAGAAGCTGCTTAAAACTTGACAGCTCTGAGATTATTTTTATGATAAAATACTAAATCATTGCCAACACAAAGGTGAATAATGGTTCAGGCTGTCAATCCAAAGTCTTATAGCATGCACCAAAATACGGGGTTCAGGGGGCCAAAGGGGAGCTAACAAAACATTATTAAAGTTGGAAAATTAAGTAATCTAAAGCAAGGAAATTCCAAGATGAATTGGCCCCCACCAGTTCCAAGCCTCCCTTTCCGTTTCTAAATTCAGTTTATCTTTTCTCGTCCTTATGCCCCAGGTCATTTCATCTCTGCATTTTATGCTGGTGGCTTTCTCTCAGGTAATGCTTGAATATCAAAAGAGAGAGAAGGAGAGAAAGAAGCTGACTGTTCCTTGTTTTAGTGCCAAAACTGAAACCGTGGGGACTTTCTCAGGTCCATAAAGGAACACTCTATGGTGACGTTAAACTGAGAAGCTGTAGTCTTTCCTGATCATCTACCTACATGCTACAGTTTTTCAGAGCTTGGCCATTTTGAGGCAGATTTTCACAGCCACCTCTGTTATTTACAAAGGCACTACATCAAAACCTAGACACTAGAACTTCTTAGGGAAAAGCTTGGCAATAATTTTCAAATGGGCAAACCCATTTATTTTTCCCTAGCCTTTTTCTTGGAAATTGCTAAACTGTTTGGCTAAAATGTTCCGCAGCACAAAATGCAGCCTGAGTCAGATAGCATGGAAACTATCATCACTAATGATTGAAGTTTGGCAAGACTGTAAATAGCAGAGTTCAGGTCTCAGTATTAGTCAATCTTAATTATAGGTGGGGCTATCAAACCATCCTACATGATAAATTGCCATAACTTCCATTTCACAGCTTGAAAGCCTCTGATCTGTGTGGGAGGCAGGTTGGCAGTAGAGTCCTTCACAGATGAGCACAGCATGCGGCGGTTCCCCAAGGTCATGCAGTAGCTGCTGATGGATCTGGGATGGCATTCAGGAGGGCTGACCTCAGATCTCCCCTGTAACCACAGACTGTCCTTGATTTTACTTGGCTTGGTAATGCTTCCTCTCTCTCGGTCATATCACTCTCCCATACTTTTCTTCACTGTTGTCCCTCTCTAACTTCTCTTCTCCTTCTTCTCTTTCCTTGGCTTCCCTTCCCACAGTATTTCAGCCTTCACCCTTACATTTTCCCTGGACATCTGACTCTCTCAGAGTTTAACCCAGTTTGGCTGCTTTAGAGGAGAGGTATGGTTTGCATTCCTGGAGGCTGCAGTGCTGGGCACATATTCCCTCCCCACGGTCACCCTCTTCATCTCAAGCTTCTTGACTTCTGGTTGGCCTCAGAAGAAAAAAGGAGAGCAGCTGGGTTTCTTTCTGAGTGGCTGTGGGAGGAAGAGCTGGAAGCCTGGTCTAGTGCCTGTAGGACTTGTTTATATGACACATTCCACGTGGTATAGGAAAGTAACATTATATATGACTGTAACCTCTGGTTACTGACAGTTGGCAGTTATATGATTTGATTGCACCATATTCATGGTGCAAGTTTTAATTATGAACATTTTGCTTTTTCTACCAGTTTTCCCAGGAAGTTCACCATGCCCACATCAATCAGATCTGAATTATTTAAGCGCTTCCACAAATGCGCTTTTTTGGTTAGGTTGAATGTGTTTAGGTTGAATGTGAGGTTCTCCAAAGTGACTTCATTTCCTAGTAGGAAACAAGTACGTGGGTCTGACGTGTGTCCTGAAGCCCAGCTGATGCAGTGACGCTGGGCAGCAGCTCTCCACGGGCAGGCCTGGCTGGCAGAGCTGGGGCCGGCAGCGAGGGCAAGGGTTGCACAGCACGAAGGGGTGCAGTGAGGTGGGCGGCCATCTCCCAGAGGACCCCCATCCCTGGACAGGGAGAGGTCTCTGTCTCTCCCTCCTCTTCAGGGCTGTCTTCTTTTGTGAACACCAGGAGTACCTTTTGTGCTGACTGCTGGGGACATGAATGACAGAACTGCTGGCACAGGTGACCCTCCAAGGGCTTGTAAACCTCAAGAAGGTCAAAAATGCAAACAGTTAAGTTACTCAGACACCCCAGTAACTGGGTGGGGCTGAGCTGGAGCTAACAAATCCCTAATAACCAAAGTTGCGGGCCAAGTGAGGTGTTTTGTCACCACACTCCCCAGGCAGTAGAAAAGCAGGGCAGAGCCATCCAAATGGACTTTTTTATCCAGGCCAAAGACTGTCCACAAGCAGCAAAGAGCTTCCATACCCGTCTGTCCCTAGAAGCAACAGGGCTGCATGTGCCAGCGTGCCATGCCAGCGTTAATCCACCCTCTCAAAGCCAGTTTGCCAGCTTTTGGTGTCTGCGTATCTTTTGCACAAGCCATTCACAACTCCCAGATAGCTGGGAGCTCGCTGCATTGTGCGATTATTTTTCTTTTTACTTCCTTCCAGAGGAATTGGCAGGAGCACCTGCAAACCCTCCTGGGCCTGACGGCAAAGGCTGAAAGTTTCAGTCTGAGTGGGTTTTGACTTGTCACCTGGAGCTAATGGAAAAAAATACACTTAGTTTGGCAGGCCAGGTAGGGGTAGTTGACCTCCGTGTCTTTGTCTCTTCATTAGTTTTGCCCTAGGAAAGCTGTGGTAGCAAAGCAGGGCAGGGATTCCCTCTTGCTCTACCCAAACGTGGCCCAGTGGGATGGAGATCCGAACTTACCAGACCTTTTATCAAACCAGCAAATGTTGCCAGGTTGCCAAGCCCAGACTTTCAGAAGTCAGAAGCCAAGCTCCAAAACATCACAGGACTTGCTTAAAACCACAAGGTGTTTCTCAGATGTTTCCTCTGGGGACTGAGTTTTTATTCCATTTTCAAGTGGAAACCAAGAGAAACATACTTATTCTAAAAAAAAACAAAACCTGAAAATATTTCACATGAGCACTAGATTCCAAAAGATTAAGAAGAAAACCCAAACTCACAAAGGCTTTCAACTCATAAAAACTCTGGAAATAACTTATTTTAATTTCAAAACCCTTAAGGTATAAAAGGAACATTTTTGATAAAGCACCTCTGACTCATTCTAACACTTTTATCTTCATTCATGCATGCTTGTGACTCAGACTAAGAGACTTGGATTGCAAAGCCTCATGTGTGTGTGTTCTTTTTTTTTTAACCTTCACAGCTTTTTTTGGGAAATACCTCAATGAATACAATGGCAGCTACATCCCTCCTGGGTGGAGAGAGTGGGTTGGATTAGTGAAGAACTCTCGCTTCTATAATTACACCATTTCTCGCAATGGTAACAAAGAGAAGCATGGATTTGATTATGCAAAGGTATTTTCCAGATACATAAATGCTGCATCATTAATCCATATAAAAATCACTTTGGATAATTAATTAACCAGATAATTAATTAATTAACCAACTACAACCAAGAAATTGAGATGTCATTTTCTCTCCAGGGCATTTCAGATTGATTTCCATGTAAGAATATTAATCGTGTAATGGAAGAAAGTTTCCAAGGGCAGCCTGGTGATTCTTCCCTCCCTCCCTCCCTCTCTCTGCTAGAAAGGAATGGTTCAGTGGCAGAAGCAAGTAGTAAACAAAGGCTTTTCCCCAAAATAATTGTGCCCCTTGTGCTACTGAACTTTAAAGCTAGCTGAGTGTTGTCAGTTGTTACCCACATAAGAAACCTTAGTTAATGCTGCTTCCCATTTTACAGTGCACACCAAAAAAAAAGGCTATGCGCCTGTGGTGTCAGACTCCGGATATGAGAATAGATAAGCACGAGAACACGGCCGTTGGAAAACTTCAGAGCTTGTTTGTGCTCTTGACAAACTTTGGAAAGTATGCCAAGGTGACCTGCCCACTGCCGTGAAGTTTCTCGGAAAGGCTTAGGAGCGCAGATCGCAGACTTTCCAGTGTGCAGAATGCAATCTGGAATTTCCTCAGACTGCAGCTCACGGAAGATGATACAGATGTTGCAGCTGTGGTTTCTGACCCATGTAATGAGATTTTATTGGAAGCTCGCGATGCCTGTTTCTGATTTCCCCGCCCGTAGAAATTACATGATACTAATTATATATTTATATGGAGTGAAAAAAAAGAAAATAAAGAATATTGGTTAGTTATACATTCCTTACACGCCCTGTGTATGTAGCTAGAATAAACAGGCCCATAGGAGGGGAGTGGATGCTTTGGGAGAGCAATCACACAGGCGTTTCACTTGAACAGGCCACAGACCCAGAAGTTACCACACCACCGGTGCCTCGCGCTCGTTACCCATTTTGTACACCAAAAGGTCACTCGCTGTCTCCTCCATATCGCTGCAAGGATTGCAGTAGCCAGGGCTACTGTGTGTGCTCCCAGCGTGCTACAGGAGAGGGAAAGGGCGGGGGGACAGGGAGCGGGCAAGCGAGGAGGTCACAGCTGGTTGGCTTGTCCTAGCACTGACATGCGACGCAGACCTTGTCCCTCAGGCTCTGCTTTTGCAGCTGTTCGGGGCCTCGAATCCACAACATATGATTAGTCATGCCTGGAAGTGCTTGAAATTACAAACATTGTCTCAGCACTTTCTCAATGAAGCTCGCACTAGACCTCCAGGCCAACAGTGAATGCTCCAAGGTGGCAGGTGGTTTAATTTAAGTTTTCATCTTTTTTTCTTAGTTCCATTTCCTCCCTTCCCCTTGTAGGCTTCCATTTGCCACCTTGGCTGTGGGTTAAGCCAGTTTATTAGCGAGTCACAACCTTAATCTCAGCAGCTGCACTGCTTAAACTTGCACAATTAAATGAACAGAGCCTGCAGGAATTCAACTGCTCCCTGCATTCGCGTTTGCAATTTCTTTGATAAAGATTTTTGCAATCTGTTGCCTGTTGTAGCTTTCTTCCACTTTGTATATATTTAAAAGTATATTCTGAACAAAGAGCATGCAAGAAATGTTTATGTAAACAGAAAACCAAGTGAGAGTCAATGATTTCTTGCAGTTAGGAGCCATTAACTTGTGAAAGTGTTTTATCAGTGAAATTCAAGAAACATATCTTTGTCAGTATAGTCTGTCATTTTAAATGTTACCTAGCATGATATTACAAAATCTGGTAATCATATTTACTTAATGCCTTCTGGTGTATCTGATTTGCAAAATACTGTCTCGTTTTATGTGGCCTCGGCTGCTTAAGAAAGTAATTACTGCTCAGTCTCCCCTATGGTCCCTTGAATCATACATCTCTTTGATGCTATGTTTTTACTTCCTGATCTGAGCTTTAATGAGGACTTGAAAATAACATAATAACATGATAGTATGTGATCTAATTAATCATGCACTTTGTAACTTTTGCTTTGTGTTAATCGTATGTTCCAGGACTACTTCACAGACCTAATCACTAATGAGAGCATTAATTACTTCAGAATGTCTAAGAGGATATATCCCCATAGGCCCATAATGATGGTCATCAGCCACGCTGCGCCCCATGGCCCCGAGGATTCGGCACCGCAGTTCTCAGAGCTCTACCCCAACGCTTCACAGCATATGTAAGTCAAAAATCACACCCTGCCAGACCCACTCCTTGAACCTGCTTCTTCTGAGGTATTTGATTATGGAGACATTGTAGGGACGGAGAATTCAAATATAAGCAAGCCATAGTAAGCGGTGAATGTTTGCTAGTTTCTTTTGTCGTGCTTGTTCCTTTTGGGGAGGAGAGTGACAGCTCTGACCATTATTAAAACAGAGAGAAGCTCTTTTCCTCCTGGGAAGTTGTGGGAGATTAAAAGGTCAGTATTTGACTTTGTAAGGGCAGCTTCTTACAATACCCTGAAAATATGTAGGCACAGGTCAGGATCTGTCGAAAAGATATTACTTCCTTCGTCTTCCTCTAAGATATGTGCTTCCTGGGTTCTAACTAACTGAATGCAAGGAGAGTAAAAACACACTTTTGTAGCTTTTGAGTGCACCAGATTTGTTTATAGACTAGATACTGGCAGATTCCCAAAATAGTCTATTAGACTTCATTTTTAAATAACATGCTTAATCTTTTCTGGTGATTACACTATGATAAAAAAAGAACTCTACATCTTGTTTCTAGAACTGAAGCCAACTCTAGTTAAAAATCTGAAGATAGTCTACATCTTGCTTTATACCTTGAATATTCTGGGTCCTTTTCCTCATAGTGAGGTCTTAGGGAAGCTTTCCATTGCCCTTCTGTCTGCTGTGGACATGTGTACTGCTCTTTCCATTTGTGCTTAAACAACATCTTTACACCTCTTTCCACACAGAAAAAACTTAATAAAATATTTTAGCTGGATTGTACATTGATTTGGCCTTGGAAAATGAGGAGGAATCAGCTTCATCACACAGTGGAAAAACTCCTTGGAATAAAAAGTGCATTTTTGACACGCTGCAGTAGCTCACACACAGGGATGTTTTTTGTAGTTGCATTAACTAATCTAAAATTGCAAGGAATAGCAGTTACTACATAAACTACATGCATAAACTGATCATCAGTTGGGGCCAGAAAGAGATATGCTGTTCATGGCACATGATTAAATATTTGTCAGTTTGTATATTTTGTCCTCTTATTGGGTGCTACTTTCTACATATGCCACTTTCCCTGACTTTACATTCTTAACTACATTTTTCTTATCCTATATTCTCAACAATCTCACATTCCTGAGACTGGACTTTGCAAATAATGCAAACCAGTCAGCAATATTTCATACTTATTTAGATACTCAGGCTAATTCCTACCTGTATACAGAATTGATGAGATTGATACATTAGTTTGTAAATATTCGCTTGAAATTGGTTCTCAAGTAATAACCTGAAGAATTATTATCACTTTTTTATGTCCCAAAGATAAAATAAGATAGACATGAACACATAGAGCCTGTCATATTGGTCTAACAGTATCTGGAATTATGTGCTCCAGCAGAAAGCAGCAGGGAATGCTGAGGGGAAAAAACCCAAGAGATATTCCTTTTCCTTGTTTTTCCAGCTTCTGAAAATGACCAGTTTAGGTGAAACATCCAGGCCACTGTGCCCCGTTCTCTTTGCATCCATCTGATCGCTTTTTGAACTGCGGTGGCAGCCCCGCCATCCTGTGGCATCAAGTTCCAGAGTGCCACTGCATGCGACAGGGACAAAAGACTGCCTTTTCTTTGCTTCCAAACCTGGAGCTTGTCCATGCCACTGGTGTCCCGTAAGGAATAATGAATAGTCGCTACATCAAATTTAATGGACCTCTCCCATGTCTTCTTTCAATCACCCCTTTTCATAGCAAGAGAGTTATATCTATTTGTTCTCACTCTGTTCAACAGATTGCGTCCCGTGTAGTGGCACAGATTGCCTGGCCTCAGGCAAGCCATCCTGTTTTCTGGGGGACTATCCATCATGCAGCAGGGTAGGATTCAAACTGTTTCCGCTTAGCTGTGGGGACTGTGTCTGGAAGAAAAGCACTGAATCATTGTATCTCAACCTACCTCTCCCCAGGCCAAAGCAACTCATTTTACTTGTGTTCACTGTCTTCTGATAAAAGAGTGCTTGTAGGAACTTGCATTGGTTTATCATGATCCTGACACTTTCTACTGCTCGGTGTTTTCAGCCTACTTGTTTTCTAGCTTGTGCTACTGGAGCCAATGGCTTTAGTCAGTCTTCAAAATTTTAACTGCCTCTCCACCTTATACAGGTTGCGTGTCACCTGCAAAGATCAAGTGGAGACCCTAGTTATTGATTTGCAGGCTTAGTTGCATTTGAGTACTTGCGTAAATTAATTTTTATTTGTGTGAATTCCTGGGGTTTAAATACCTTGCTCTGCTAGGCTACTTGTGAAATAGCCCAGAATATGAGACTCAGCTGTGCTGCTTCTTGTCTTCTGGTGTTGTTGATTTCTTGGCAACCTTCTTGCAAAGAGTTTTTTCTTTAGTGACCTCAAGAGATCCTTGCTGGGTTGTTTTGTGTTTCTTATTGCACTGACTGACTGCATGTGTTAGAGTTCATTCTGCAGACTAAGAAATGAGACAAACTGAACATAAACTGCCAATTTGGGTGGCTGAAGCCTCCAAATAGCTGATTTCTCTAGCAAAAATATTAGCAACATGCTCTAAAAGATATAAGACGCTTAGTTCTCACAGAAATATTCAGTGCTCCCTGTGAAAACAGCACAAGAACAATAAAATCCCTCCTGCCAAGATTTGTGTAATTTGAACGTTTAACCCTTAGGTTTTCTTCCTTGGTGGTCAAGCACCATTTGAATCCCTTTCTTTCTGACCTTGGGTGACAGCCATCTGACCTTGGATTTTGTTTTTAAAAATGTAGTTGCTATATCATGTTACTGTAACGCCTACCTCCAACAAAGAAGGGAAACCAGGTCAAAAGCTGCTTGCTGGCTCTACAAACTGAGATGGAAGGTTATACCTACAAACCAAGGATTAAGATAGCCTGTCAACCACATGTGAGGGGAAGTTTTGCTTAAAAGGACAGTAGCCGAAGCAGGCTCTTAAATTATGTGACATTTCTTTGCTGGGAAAGTACCTATCATTTGATTGAAATACTGCCTTTATACATTAAAAAAAAAAAAACCTCCCAAAACACAAACCAGAACTTTGTTTAGAAGTTTTCCACTTGCACGTATGCAGAGGGGAGTGGCTACGGCAGGAAACACTCCAGGGAGGGTTCTAACCTCAAATGTGGGCATCCATTGGTCTCATTTCCCCACTTAACAACACGGAAAGAAGAAAATTGAATGAATGCAGCAGCAAAGTCCATAAGATTTATGAAAAACCCATCAAAGCCAAAAAGAAAAGGAAGAATTACATACCATTGTTATCTTACAGTCCTGTCCTCCTCAGTATAGCCTGCCAGAATGGCAGAAGTCTTACAAGGACAAGAAAGGTAATGACCCTGCTGCATGATTAACTGTTTAATCATTAATTTTAAGTGATCCCTGTTAATTCTCATTAGCTCCAGTTTAACAGACTATATCATAAAGGAAGCAGCAGACACTCTATTGTTTTTAAGCGTCCATTCTCCCTCCCACTCTCCCACCTCTCCTCTCCTTAAAACATGTCCTATTTCTGACACCTGAAAATATTTCTGAAAGTTTATGCTGGCTGCTGTCACCATCACGAGTGACATATTTTCTGAAAATAAATCATACTAATGCATGTACTCTATCTATGCCCAGAAGTTATTTCTGTGGAAGAAGATGGGACTGGAGAAGAGGTACTAGATGAAAGCAACACATAGATTTTTGCTGTGATAATGAACATCATCTGTTGGGGAGCAGAGTTGCTAGACCTTTGGAAATGCTGTTGTTAAATATGAAGTTATGACACAAGAGATGGCTCTCTAGGTGTCCCTGGCATCTGTTACAGGGGAATCTTGTTCCATCAGACAGCTGAGCAGGAACCCTCTGACTCAAAGGATGCTCTAATGAAAGCCTGAATTCTCAGTTATGCTTAGGGCCTCTGGCACTTTAACTTCCCTTTACCTTCCAGTGTGAACCAGTCTTAGGGGAACTGTGAATCAGACCTAAGCTGTTTATAAGCTGTGAAGTAAACAAACATTAGAAGCAAAAATCTGCGGGAGGCAGGTTTACTGAAGAATGCAAAAAATGGAAATCTGAAACACTGCTGGCTGTGCTGAGTTAAAGATCCTCGGGCTGGCAGGAGGACTGACAACCAGATTTTATGGTTACCTGGAAGCAATACTATTGCCAGGCTAAATATCTTCAGAGGAGCTGCTAGAAATAGTATCTGGGAAGAGATCGGAAAGCTCCCCAAGATAATGTGAGAAAAGATAGATGATAGGAAAAGCAGAGCTTTAAATGTCCACTTAAAGATAGTATGAAAGGTGCTGAACAACCAGGTCTGGTGGTAGCAGTGTGAAGCATGGAGAGCAATGCTGTTGCACCTCCGAATCCCCAGAGCAGTCTTAACTGCGAATTTGGGGTGTGAGATGGCTGCGTTCAGGGTGCCTTCCAGTCACTGAGGCTGAGTCTCAAACATCTGCCAGTTACGACGGTATTTCTTGTAATGTGGACAAAAAATCCATTAGAGTAGGATTTGCATCAGTAATAAATCTTGACATGTCAGTGTGTCTTGTCACAGCTGACCTGAGGCCCACTTAGACTCCTGACTTAGAGATAAATGATCAAAATCATCACACACATCATTGCGAGTGTGACTTTAAACAGGACTAGAAGAAATAGTGTGATACAGAAATGTGGTAAGATTCTAGTTACCCAATTAACTGCTGCAGCAACAACAAATAATTTCCGAAAATAAAAAGGTGTTATATTTAACAGGTAACAAGTTATTTTTGTCCTTTATTCCAAAATAAAGCAGTTGTGTTACACTTCAGAAGTGAAACTTTCATACCTTACATCCTCAGATATATAAATATCCCTAGATTTAAAAGATTTCTGTTTTAAAAGGCAGCAAAAGTAGACCCAGAATGGTGAAATTCAACTTCACATTAATACTGACAATGCCAGTGGTCATGGGGTTCTTTTAATGTTGCTCAGAATCTAGGCTTC